CTCACACTCACACTCTCACACTCTCACACTCTCACACTCTCACACTCTCACACTCACACACACACACGACATCTGGCTCCTGCATTCATGGCTCAGTTTGATGACCTCACTCGTTGGGAGTTGGATCAAATCCAGTGATTTGCAGTTAGTTCACGATGTGATTGGCTGCTGTGAACACCAAACAGGAAGCTCTGATCACACACTGACATGGTCTATATTCAGAATAGCATACTGACAGTATATACCGTAGTATGCATGGAATACTTGGGTGACCTACTACATTGGCCAAAATGTGCAGCATACATATGAGCGCACAGCATGGAATAAGACACAAGTCACAGCTTGTTTCTGTCCATGATGAAAGAGAAAATGTTGCATGAAGTGACCAATCATATAGCTTGACGTGTGCAGTTTCTTTACTGTAGTTTACAGAAAGTTGGGTGGGACATATAAAAAAATTGCTTGTTTAAAAACAGCTAATTGTAGGGCTGCACGATTTATGGGACAAACTGTGATTTTTCTGATAAAAATTGTGATTCAAAAACAGGTTTGCTGTGCTTGTTTATAGGGCTGCACAATTTGGCTAGTTTTTATTATATATAAATACGAGTATAACATACATAATATATTATTATTATTATATAAATATATTAAACAAATAAGAAATATTAGTATTGCAATATTTCACACTAAAATTAAAATCATCAAGTATTTAATAATAATAATAATAAAATATTTAAATAATAAGAAATATTAGTTTTGTAATATTTTACAGTAAAATTAAAATAGAGTATTTAAGAAAAACTATTATTATTATTATTATTATATAGAAATAAAAATATTCAAAAAAGAAATATTAGTATTGTCATTTTTCATTTTACAGTGAAATATAACAATACTAATATTTCTTATTTGAATAATTCTATTTCTCAATAACAACAATAATAATAATATATTAAACAAAATAAGAAATATTAGTTTTGTTGTATTTCACTGTAAAATGAAAATAGTTTAAGAAAAACATTATTATTATGATTGATAAAAGAAATATTCAAATAAGAAATATTAGTATTGTCATATTTCACTGTAAAATTAAAAATGTCAAGTATTTAAGAAAGATATACATTTAATAAATGAAAAAGCAGCCTTTGAGATTTCATAAACGCACTGTATCACAAATTCAGTTTTATTTGGATTAATCGTGCAGCCCAAGCTAACAGGCTTTTAGTTGAGGTCACAGACATTAACGAGTTTATACTTGCTCTTGTTAATCAGGAAATGTCTGGGCAGATGTTTGATTGGCTAAAAATGTAGACACGCCCATGAGTGCAAGATGATGTCATCAATACTTTGGTCCATATAGAGATGGGATTTAGTGAGATTTCACTGTGGGCGGGGCTACTGTAGCATGATGTGACATAAATACAAACTAAGTGAACGGCAAAACGACCAAATCTAGCTGCTGGTTAGGACGGATTATTATGGAATATATTCATCGAGAAATGGACAAGAAACAGACGAGATGGAGACAGAAACAGACGGCGAGGTTTAGGAGAAATCCCACATGCCGTCCTCGGGCTCGGGGTGGGTGGGTGACGGGGTGTTGCAGGTCTGGGTGGGGGTTTCAGATGGAGGCGTGTCTGGAGGACAGGACACTGGCACGGCTGGATACATCAAACTGAGGAAAGAGTCCCTCGTGTGTTTCTTCACCTGGAAGATCAATACAGATCACTGAAGGAATGAATTTAGGCTACACTGGAAGACTGAAGACAGGGTGAATCTGAGTGAAAGCTTGATGAAAGGGTGAATGTACCTGTCTGAAGAAGGGATGGGTGAGGAGAGCTGTCGCAGACGGCCTGAACGACAAACACATACTTATTACTTTGGGTTAAATCAAAGTAAAAAAAATATTTTTTATATTTTAGATATTTTCTCAAATATTCTCTGGACGGTGCAAAATTAGCATTTCATCGCCCTGGCAGGTGAACTGAGAAAATAATAGATATAATTTTACCAGTCGTGATCGATAGATAGATAGACAGACGGACAGACGGACGGATAGACAGATAGACGGATAGACTGATAGACGGATAGAAGGATAGACGGATGGATGGATGGGTAGATAGATGGATAGATGGATAGATGGATGGATGGATGGGTGGATGGGTGGATGGGTGGATGGATAGATAGATGGGTGGATGGGTGGATAGGTGGATGGGTGGATGGGTGGATAGATGGATGGGTGGATGGATAGATAGATAGATAGATAGATAGATAGATAGATAGATAGATAGATAGATAGATAGATAGATAGATAGATAGATAGATAGATAGATAGATAGATAGATAGATAGATAGGTGGATGGGTGGATGGGTGGATGGGTGGATAGATAGATGGATAGATGGATGGATGGATGGATGGGTGGATGGGTGGATGGGTGGATAGATAGATGGATAGATGGATAGATGGATAGATAGATAGATAGATAGATAGATAGATAACCATAAAACCCGATGTATCAAATATAAATATCTATTCCAAAAATACATTATTTGAGCATATATTGCATGAAGTTTCAACAGACAATTTGATTTTAAAATGTAATCATTTTTTCTGAATATTATTTCATGTCAGGCTCATGTCAGAGGGTTTACTAAAATCTAAAATCCTGATCAACTCTAATCCTAAAAAGCCTCATCTTAAATTAGTACTCATCCATTTTTATTATTACATTTTTTTCCCCAAGTCCACTTATAATATTAGTAAACTTCAAACAGTTTTGGATATTTAATTGTGCATGCTCATTTTTTAGATTATCTGTGCCACAATCACATTTTTTAAAACACTAAGTTGTCTCGCTGTTTATACATTGTTTGCGGTTATATACTGTCTATAACGCTACTGTTGGGAAGAGCTTTCGTGTCTGGAGTGTGTGTGAACGTCACCTGTCGCAGCAGCTCAGGACTCAGCCAGGGCAACAGAGACGGACTGTGCTGAGGCATGTCAAACACAGCTCTCATCCTCTTGCCATCCTTCATCAGACTGTACACGCTCTGAAGCCCCGACAAACACACACGGCCTTCAGCTGACAGCAGCACATGACTGGCCTTCACACCCCTGCAGGACGCACGAGATGAGGAGACCAGATTCATTCAGGTCTCTGTCAAACAGTCATCGTGTGCTCACCTGTGCACGTAACCCATGTGATGCAGGTACTCCAGCGCTCGGAGCACCCCGTACAGCAGGTACGCCATCAGAGACTCGCTCATTCCATCCGGAAAATACGACCTGAGCAGAGAGTCTGCAGAACCTGAATGAGGCGCGTGCGGAGAGGGAAATAAAACAAGGGAAGGATGGGAAACGAAAGAGGATGTGAATTCCAGGTGACTCTTACCATAGCTCATGAGAGGAGACAGCACCCAGAGCTGACAGCACGAGCTGAACACCAGTCTGGACGTCAGCACACACACACACACACACACACACACACATACATATACATACATATATATATAAAATAAATTACCATTTCACAATTACATAAAAGCCTGATGTATCAGATATGAACAATTACACACAAAAAAGTTATTTAAATATTACATTTTATTTATATTTTTTAGTTATATTATTTATTTATATTTAATAAATAATAAGATATTTATATTTAAGTTTCAATAGACAATTAGATTTTTTTTAAATGTGACTATAATTTCATATGCCAGGCTTTATTAAAATCTAAAATCTAATAAAGCTTAATTTGAAAACTGTAGAAATCAGTGTGCTGTTCACATACGCATGTACACACCATCAGCTGCAGCAGCTCATCTTCTGTACACTCATCCAGGTTAGTGTTTTTTACCGCCACCAGCCGGCCAGACAGTGTGTGTCGTGCCATGCTCACCTGACTGAGGTTATTAAAACCCCGGCCTGCACACACACACACACACACACACAAAAACAGTGATACTTCTCAATCTAAGCTACATGATATAAACATGAGACTTCAGGGAATAACTAACACATCATAATATATAAAGCATTTCACGGTCCCTACCCAGTTGTGAGAGCAGCTGATAGTGGGCGGAGTCAGTGGAAAGATCTGTGATGTCATCTTCATCCGTCAACACAGAACACGGAGACACATCACTGCTCTGTCACACACATAAACACACATGAACAAACATATAGTGCACTGCGCACACACACACACACACACAGCTCTACCTCATATTTAAAACCCTCCACACAATGATAGTTAGGGTTCTAATTCTGGTGAAGGCATAAAATGTAAATAGAATTAATAAGGCACTTCCTGTCCTGTGACTAACACTAATGTGATGCTAGAGGAAGAGAAGTTTTCTTTAAAAAATGTTTAATTGAAATAAAGCTGAAATAAAAATAAATATGGTACAACTTTAGATTTGGGAACACATTCACTATTAACTAAGAGTTTTCTCCTAATTTACTGCTTGTTGATAATAAGTAAAGTAGTTGTTGTAGTAGTTATGATTATGTATTGGGTAGAGTTAAAGGACATAGAATATGGTCATGCATTATATGTGTTTTATAAGTACTAATAAACAGACAATATGCTAGTAATATGCAATCTAATAAGAAACTATTTAAAAGTGAATAGTGTTCCCTAATCTAAAGTGTTAAATATATAATAAGTATTTGAAGAGAAACTTAAAATGAAAATGAGAAACTGGAAATAAATAAACTAAAACTGAACAAAAAACAAATAAATAAATAAAAATAAAGATAGATAATACTAAATAACAAAAAAAAAAAAAAATACAAAAGCACATAACATTAATTTTTATTTATTTATTACAATTAAAATAAAACTTAAAATATAATAATAAAAGCTAATTCAAAAATATTAATAAAAACTATAATAGTAATACTAAAATAACACTACTGAGAAACACTGATCTTTCGCAGATCAGACCACTTCTAGTTAAGATGGAGGTTAGTGGGTTGCAGAATATTTAAAGGTATTAGTGAAATTAGAGACTAACATAAATAGCATTTCAGAAATTGCATTTACATGTTATCTCTTCATGCATTCCCTGGGATTAAAACACATGACCTTGGTTTTTGCTAGAGTCATTGAGCTACAGTAGCAGTGATTTCTAATAAGAAATGAAAAAGAAAAAAAAAAGATTACATTTAGTGATTAATTTCATAGTTTGTAATGCTTTACTCCAAGGTCATTCAATCCCTCATAAGTACAAGTCTTAAACCTCCAGGTTTTTTTGCTTTGAATAATGCTGTAATATTCGAATGCTGCGATTCATCAGTGCATCAAATGCATGCATTACATAACTCTGAACTGTAGGGGGTGATAGAGTTATATTCTGATCTCTGTGCCATTAAACCAGATTTGTTATTATTCAGTTAGCTTCTATAAACACGTCAACACTATAACATTTTAGACTTGAACTATTTAAGCTTTTAACTGTATATTGAATCATTTTCTGAAATGCCTCTTTAGTGATTTAATGGGAAAGTGACTTTCAGAATTGTGATTTGCTTTGCACTTCTCGGCCACCGTATGACCCAGATTGCTTTAGTCAAACACCAAATATTTCTGCCACAGGATGGGAATACCTAAAGACAACCCACAGATATCGCCTTCAGCCAAAGACACGGGACAACAGCACAAGTGAGCTTTCATCCAGAACCATGGAACAGAAACACTGCTTTGTGATGCCCAACACAATGGATCCACTCAAATCTCAGATCGCACTTCAGGAAAACAGCAATCTGAAGCTCACTGGAGTTTGTGAATATGCATCGATGTTGCTCTGGCATGACTGTGCTCTCTCATATCCTACAGGGCTTTTCACACTGACAACTATTTGCAGTGACAAAGCAAACGGAAGTCGTTCATTTTAAATCAGAGTCTGTGATTTAAGGTGACTTGGGCATTCTTGCCTGATGCCTTCAAACACACTGAAGCCACGATCGATTATTAGACTCTACTGACCGAGCACTGATGGCTGATGTCTTCATACTGCTCCTCTATGCTGATGGACTGGACTTGTGAGTGGGAGGAGATACAGGTGCAGTCCTGAGGGGAAGAGGGGAGGAGACATGAGACATGCCCCCCACCCCGCAAATGAATATGGAGATGAATACGACTATATCCACAGTATGCATATGCATGGGCTTTTCACACTGACAACTATTTGCAGTGACAAAGCAAACGGAAGTCGTTCATTTTAAATCAGAGTCTGTGATTTAAGGTGACTTGGGCATTCTTGCCTGATGCCTTCAAACACACTGAAGCCACGATCGATTATTAGACTCTACTGACCGAGCACTGATGGCTGATGTCTTCATACTGCTCCTCTATGCTGATGGACTGGACTTGTGAGTGGGAGGAGATACAGGTGCAGTCCTGAGGGGAAGAGGGGAGGAGACATGAGACACGCCCCCCACCCCGCAAATGAATATGGAGATGAATACGACTATATCCACAGTATGAATATGCACGAATTGAGCAAGGGTGGGTTGAAGGGCAAAGACACGGCAAAAGGAGGAGATGATTATGGAAACGCTGCAGTGCAGAGTCAACCTTGCCATGTTTGATTAAGCCGAGGTCTCAGGAATGTTCCGTATTCAATGCAAAACATGAAACCATTTTTGTTTGTTTTTACAAAATGAGCAACAAGTTATGCTTATAGAACCTTTCCTGAATCTGGAACATTTCTTTATGACATTAAAGGAATAGTTCACCCAAAAATTAAAATGTGCTGAAAATGTACTCACCCTCAGGTTGCCCATGATGTAGATGAGTTTGTTTCTACATCAGATTTGAAGAAATGTAGCATTCCATCACTCTGCAGTGAATGGGTGCCGTCAGAATGAGAGTCCAAACAGCTGATAAAAACATCACAATAATCCACATCTTATGTAGCCAAAAGCTGCGTATTTGTAAGAAACAAATCCATCATTAAGATGTTTTAGCTTTCGCTTCTGGCCAAAATATGAGTCAATAATCCATAATAATGCTTCCTCCAGTGAAAAAGTCCATCCCGCTGTCTTCTCATATCAAATCCACCCACATATTTGTTTAGAGCTGTTTTAGCTTGTAAATGGTGCTTTATCTGTTTATATTTCTCTCCTGATTGATACAAGATGACTTTTTAACTGGAGAAAGCAGTATTATGGATTATGAACTCGTATTTTAGCTGGAAAGAGGTCTGAAGTTAAAAAAACGCCTTGATGGATTTGTTCCTTACAAACATGTAGATTTTTGCTTCACAAGACATTAACTGATGGACTGGAGTGGTGTGGATTACTTGTGGATTACTGTGATGTTTTTATCAGCTGTTTGGACTCTCATTCTGACGGCACCCATTCACTCCATTGGTGAGCAAGTGATGTAACGCTGCATTTCTCCAAACCTGTCCCAATGAAGAAACAAACTCATCTACTTCTTGCATGGCCTGAGGGTGAATACATTCTCAGCAAATTTTCATTTTTGGGTGAACTATTCATTAAACAGACACATGATGACACACTGTAATTTACCCCAGGTTTTGATGTCTGAATGTTATTTTATTAAATTACTTACAAACAATGCAAAATTAAAATGTTTTTAACAGCTGTTAATCATTTTGACAGCATTTAATTATGTATTATCGAGAGAAACAACCCAACTTTTGTTTGTTTCTACAAACAAGTCATGCTTAAAGAACCTTTATTGAATCCAGGACATTTCTTTATGAGCGAGACACTGACACAAGCCTCCTGGATTAAGAGGTGAGGTGGAGGATCGGTGATATTAATGAGGACGCTTATTATTAAATGTGCTGATATCTAGGGAATAGAGAATAACCAGGCCATGGATATTGTTCAGCGAACATCTTCAGCCTATAAAAAACATCCCTGAAGCGCTACTACTATACTGAACACTAAACCCAGAATCCTCATGCAAACACATTCTGATACCCAGAAATAAACACAGAAAGCATGAAATACAGAATGCATTGAGCTTTGTGCAAACAAAGATTTGACTCTCACCAGAAACGACATGAGGTGCTTTTGGCTGAGCTTGGCGCTTCACTGGAGTTCATTTATCCGATTCTGGAGACAGCGAATAACAATTAGTCCATCTGCAAAAACACTCCTGCAAGGGTTTCCATTGTGTCACGCTACATTTTTCATTGCAAGAAAATTTGCCCGAAAAGCTAAATGTTTTTCGCTTACCTGGCTTTGCTCGGATTTCACCGCGTAAAACACACAGACTTCATCTCATCTTACGCTGCTCCATTAGAGTCCTATGAAGCAAACCATCAGCAGAGAAGCTTTCAAGCACATATCAGCTTTCAGGGCTTAAATGGCATTACATATGATCTAGATCCAAAGCATCTCATCTCGATTTTCTAAGCTTACAGAACTATTTCTATAGTTTCTTAATAGTCTGATTTCAAATGCATCTTGTCTGAAATGCAGCATCCATATTCTGGTCGTGTACTAGACGCCGTGTCCATGAACAGAGCAACCAGAATCAGTGTCTGGCTCCGCTTAAACAACTGTACGAGTCTGATCTCCTCTCTGCTCATGACATCCTCATCATCTTCAGTTATATCACTTGATAGGATGTCATATCTGTCTGGACGCATCAGCTCTGGTGACATTGGGAACTACTGTCCATGTTGTGTTGTTATGTAATTAATATTAACGGCATCGAAATGAGTTCATGCTTGCCTGATTACACTTTATATTAAAAAACATATTAAATATTATTGAATGTGTGTAGCTCAAGATGAGGTCTCTTTGTTTGTTAAACTGCAATTGTAAATAAAATAAATCATGCATATTATATTGGTGCACAATACAGCAAACAAATAGATATGCATAAACATGCGTGCCCAAATCAGATGATATGTTAAATATTAACTATGAAATGATCAGAGCAACTGACAGAAGGTGTCCTTCCTAGTCCTTGACAGTGACCGCATGTAGGTTAACAGGGTTAAGAACAAAAAATCTTTAACAAGGAGTAACGGTGCACTAGAAGGGTCTCAAATTAAATCCACCCTGTTTCATATGAATTATGGTTAATGGTGCATTAATGCATTTGGTGACTGTAGTAGAGATTTTTGACATAACATTAATAATGCGGGATTAACATTATTCGCACGTGCTATGATGACTATTATTAATTTCCAATATTATGCACAGCAATTATTTTCAGAGTTTGGTGAGAAGCTCCAAGCCAGATGTAACAAAAACTCACCATTGTTATGCATGCATGGATGGAGGTTCTGCTGTAAACTGATTTCGTCAGTTCTGGGCAGTTACAGTTACTTCGGTCACATCACAGTTTTATCATATGAGGAAAAATCGCGCAGCGCCTCTCACATTTACCAAATAACATTTCTAAGTTGAGTTGCCAAAGCGTTTCTTCACAGTCCCAGCTGATCACGCGCCACGCTTAACGTAGCGGAGATGTTTACATAATAAAAGTCGCTCTCGCACGCCGTAAGGGTGTGCATAATAAAATCACCATTTCAATAATCATTTAGGATTCAGTTTAAAATGATTAACGATATTTATCCCTGTAATGAGTTCCTCAGACACAGATCTAATTTGGCTTGTAATGAGTTTTGTGAAGCAGACATAGAGTATGCAAATTGTCTAAAAATGCTTGGTTGAGTTTGAAGATTGTAATACCTGACTTTGATTTTAAAATTGAAAAATATTTGTCTTTTCTCGGAACTTTGATGGTGAACGTTTAGTTAATGATATTGTGATTTTGGCGAATTAATTCACTCATAAATGCAGATTCCAGATAACCCCCCACACACTTTCTTACTTTTCAAGAAGGATTTAATGGTCTTCTTTAAATCTTTAAAACTCATGCATCATAAAAAAAAAGCAATTAAAACAATTATTTTTTTATTTTTCTTTCTTAACATTCTAATTATGTTTATTTTGTTTATATATTTCTCTTTGTCGTGCTGCTATTTGGGCTTATTGGGATTGTATTAAGATTTTTCTTACTGTTGTTTACCTGGTATTTGTATGTTATTTTCAAGCAATAAAAAAAAAAATAATAATAATAATTCAAGATTTTTTCTTGTGATCTAAAAATAGTGGAAAGCCTAAATTAAATTGCACTTTTAGAATCCCTAAAATAATTGTACAAACTGTGTTTATTTTTGAATTAGGGACTTCAACATCTTACTTTATTACCTTACATGTAGAAAATAATTAATTTTCTCTATCTCCATTCTCTTTCTCTATTATTATTATTATCATCATCATTATTGTTGTTGTTGTTTGCTGGTTAAAAAAATTAATATGCATAATAATGTTTGTAATTGTCATCCATAAATAAATAAATAGATCTCTCAGGGACTTTTATCACAAACAAATGTCGCGGAATATATGACGTAAGTACACACACACACACACACACACAAGCCCCTCCCTCCCGCGCGCTCTTCTTCGCTATTGTCTCAGACGCTCGAAGTGACAGGAGCCGCATGCACCGGTAGCGCTCAGGAAAAAGACGGATTTCAAGTGAACTAGAGGTAAGAGAGAGATTTCCCGTTCTTTAATAAGTCATGCGCGTACATTTGTGTGTATGCAGGGAGAGTGGGTGAGTTTGAGGGGCTGTAGCGGGTAAAATCACGGATGTGCCTCATGAGGGAGGCTCATATAGACACTGGCTCGTGTGCATCGGGATCAGAGCAGTGCATTTCTGGGTATGTTGTGAAGTGAGCGATCAACGGATGAGTGGATGTGTTTTCTGAGTGTCATAACTCTGTTCTGGATAATCTGCAGGCATTATGAAATCTGTTGCATCAGATCAAATGGATTGTTTTTCCCCTCACACTGCATCATTATAGAGCATCTCTGTGCTGCTTTTGTTCATGTATCTCAGCTCAGGTGCTATGATAAAAATAAATATATTCATCCTTATCAGTGGATCTTAGTGATAAATCACTGGAAGGTTGTGGTTATGTAAAAAAAAAAAAAAAGGTCTAATATGCCCTTCATTGTCATCACTGACATCTGATTTATGAATTTCATAATTCATGAACACGACTTATTGACTTTTAGTCAACCATACTTAAGACGTTTTGTTTTATATCTTATATTATTTATTTATTAAGTTAAAGAGAATACATTATTTGTATAAACAAACTAGCCTAACATTTTGAATATTAAAAGTAAAAAAAAAAACATTTTAATATATATATATATATATATATATATAAAATGTATACAATTAAAAGAATGGGAAACCATGAAGAATGAGAAAGTAGTGCACTATAGTTATTACATGACATCATGTTGCTTATTTAATCCAGTACTGTTCATAACAGGACATAACTAAAAACAAAAATGTCCGCACTTGAATGGAATGTGTGTAAAATGTTTTTTATTGTGTCTAATTCATCATATATTATGACCTAAAAGTTTTTTTTT